CCCCCCCCCAAAAAAAAAACAAGCCCTAAACCCTACTGGGTTTAGCATTGTTAAGGGATCTGTTTGAAGTTACCACAATGGGGATCTAAAGTAAATAATCTGTTTTCCGTATTATAGTAACTTCACCCTAGCCCTAAACTTTAAGCCCTAAACCCAAAAAATCCAAAAACCCAACAAGCCCTAAACCCCAAACCCTAAAGCCCCAGCCCCTCTGAGACCGGCGCCCCGTAAAACTTGGGGTTGAAGTTGCGGCGGAAGTACTTTCCTCACGGTGGAAAGTCGGGCTTTTAGGATGGATTTCGTATAGGTTTTATAGGCGTTTCATGGCTTTTAGGGTGGATTTCGTATAGGTTTAGGATGGATGTCGAATAGGATTTATTGGGGTTTTAGGGCTTTCAGGGTGGTTTTCGTACAGGAGTTATTGGGGTTTTAGCGCTTTGAGGGTGTATTTCGCCTAGGATTTAAAGGGTTTTGGAGTCAGTACAGGGCTTGCGGTTCACGGTTTAGGGTTTATGGGTTCAGGGTGTAATACAATAAATAATTTCAGTAGGGTGTTGGGGGTTCCTTATTATGATCATACTATAATGGGCCCCGCGACCCTATTCTAAGTATCAAGGCCCCAACATTATTCCGTATAGCATTTATAGGGGTTTTGGAGTCAGTACAAGGTTTCAGGGTTTGCGGCTTGCTTGACGTTTAGGATGCATTCGCGGTTAGGGGCTCACTTCTTGGAGGGTCGGGTGACTTAGTAAGTAGATATTAAGCAGAGTTATATGTATCCCAAAAGGGATCCTAATTGGGGTTAGGGTACTTTTAAGTCTATAAAACAACTAGTTACAATGTCCCCCGACCCTCCAAGTAGGGTGTCGGCTTGGGGTTCAGGGCTCAGGGTTGCAGGGTATAGGGCTGTTACAAGACAGTCCGGGTTTTGTTTCCAGGATCTACAGTAGAGTTTTGGGACCCATTATAACTATATACAATTATAATAAGGAAGCCCCAAAAGAGTATTGAAAATTATTTAGGCCCCTACATTACATGACAAGGCATAGGCTTCGACGCAGATGGATTGGCAGGGTTGGGGTTGTTGCAGTTTCTTCGGAGCCAAACAGCACTGGGTTACCAGAGGCGTCGCGAACTTGATCTCCTCTAAAGACGACGCGGCCCTTCTGTTTGTGCTGTGTCGGGTGCAACTCAAAGTGCTTTACACCACAGAGCGTCAAAAGTTCTGGGCTCCGCGGGAAAACGAAGGTGATTGAGAACCAGCTGCGAATGCACGAGCAAGGTCCCCTACATGACCAGGCGCCGGATCAGCCTGCGCTGGTTCTTTCCTGCCTTCCCCAGAGAGCCCAGTATCCCCTAATCAAGGAACCTACCTTAAAGTATAAGGGCCTTCGCATTATGATTTCAGGTATATTCCTTAATTAGGGGTGTTGGGCTGACCCGGCGAAGAAGCCAATGCCGGTTTAGGGTTAGGGGTTAGGGCATGTGTGTGGCTGAATTCCAGGACATGCCAGGACCACCATGGACACAACACAAAACCCTAAACCCTAAACCCTGAACCCACTTGCAACAACTGAGACGGGCCAGCTTGAGACAAGCTGGACGAGGCATAAAGACGGTTTAGGGTTTAGGGTTCAGGGTTACGGTTTAGGGTTAAGGGCTTAGGGTTACGGTTTAGGGTTTAGGGTAGAGGGCACGATGCAAGGCACATTAGGGGCACTGGGGCGGCCTGCATGGCTGTACATACCCGTTATAGCAGAACTCGGAATAACACTCCTCGAATCAGAATCGGGGTCTTGGGTCAGGGATTCCTGGATAGGGCTATTGGAATCTCTAGGGATCTCTTCTGGAGTTGATCTGCATGTGACAGGAATTCCCACACCCACACCCGAAACCCTACACACCCCAAGCCCCAAACCCTCAACCCCTCAAACCTAAACCCCAAACCCTAGAGACCCTACTTACTTCCCCAAAAGCGAGGGAAATAAACGATTGAACTTTCTGATTACTACTTAATTTTCACTACGACCAAAAAAAGTTTAGAGCTTGCTTTAGGGTTTAGGGGTTTAGGGTTTAGGGTTTAGGGTTTAGGGTTACGGTTTACGGTTTAGCGTTTAGGGTTACGGTTTAGGGTTTAGGGTTACGGTTTAGGGTTAAACCCTAAAGCCCTAGTAACCAAAAAAACCAAACCTTTTCAGATCCCTTCAGACCCTACAGTTCCTGGCCACAGTGAATTACCCTAAACCTAAAGCCTACAGCCTCAGCCCTAGACCCAAACCCTAAACCCTAAACCCTAAAGCCTGAAGCCTAAACTCAAACCCTAAAACCGAAACCCTAAACCCTAAAACCCTAAGCCCTAAACCTGAAGCTCGCAGACGCTTGCAGCCGAAGCTGCCAAAGTAGAAGGGGATGAACTCCGGGTGGATACCTGGTTTAGGGTGTAGGGTTGAGGGTTTAAGGTTGAGGGTAGGGTTTAGGGCTCAGGGCTTTAGGGTAGGGTTTAGGGCCCTAAGCCCTAAACCCTAAACCCTTAACCCTAGGTTGAGGGTAGGGTTTAGGGCTCAGGGCTTTAGGGTAGGGTTT